CAAAACAATTATTTCTAAACAGATAATAAATTTATCCAGCAGATAAATTATCAACAATTCCAAAGGTGAGTAATTAATTAATCTAACTACACCATTCAATCTCATAATTTCCCAATTTCATGATTTACAACTCAATTCCATATCTTCCCAAATTAATCATACAAATTAATGTTTAAACATTATTAGGGCATTTTCCCCCTCTTCTCAAACATCAGCCCTAAAGGTTCAATTTCATCAATCCCACAACAATAACCCTATTTTCCAAGGTCTCACATACACATGTAGCTTAATAATAGAAAACCCCCTTTTTACAACTTCAAAACAAACCCTAACTTTCCCAAAACTCCCAAGCAACACCATCTATACAAAATACCCAACATTTATGTCAAAACTCATAGAAAGGAGTAGGTTATCCCTACCCCAAATGAAGAGACTCAAAGGAGAAGATGATGAAATCTCAAGATGCTCCAAATCCAAGGATTTTCGGATCAAAACGAAGACCACATGAAGCTCAAGCTTTTATACAAAGGAAGTAGTGTAGGAGAACCATAAATCAAGAGTTCTTGTAGAGTGAAGTGGTGGTTTAGAGAGAAAAGCAGCCAGGGCTAGGGTTTGAGTAAAGAAGATGATGAAAAAGTGATGTTTAACCCGCTGCTATCAACTGATATATTCGAGGCTTGCTCGAGCGAAGAAGTGGTTGCTCGAGTGACCAGACACAGACGAACCTCGCTCGAGCGCACAAAGCCTCGCTCGAGCGAACCACACGAAGCTTCAAGTCTGCAACCCAGAAGCACGCACGAGCGTAAGAGTGCTTGCTCGAGCGACGAAACCCAAAACATAGACCTCGCTCACTCGAGTGAAGGAAAGCTTGCTCAAGCGAAGAAACACAACCTTCAGGTCAAAAAGAAACGCAGACCCACGCTCGAGTGCATGATTGCTCGCTCGAGCGAAGAGACACACCACCCAAAGCTCACTCGAGCGAAGGAACCCTGGCTCGAGTGAAGGAACTAAAACACAGAGCTCGCTCGAGCGACAAAAGCCTAGCTCGAGCAAAGAAGCCAAAATCTGGGTAGCAACCATTTATTTCAAAACACACCCAACCTGTTACAAACCTGCCCAACACATCCCAAAACTCAAATACAAAGAATTAAAGGATGGAAATACGACATAGACAACAATAGACATCCACGGAACCGAGTCCGGAATACAATAAACAATGGAGGGAAAACTGGGATCGCTATAGTTCAGAACTTAATGCATTTTTGCTTTTGATTCCTAGGGGATATTACTTTTGGATTGGCCACCTGGCCAAACCTGCATAACCTGAATCAAAGCAACTCCAATGGTTCTATCAAATGCCTTGTCATAGCCAAAAAATTGGCGTTAGTTCACAAAATCTCTCTAATGGTGAATCAAATGCCTTTCCAAAAAATGTTAGCCAAATCTTGAACTAAATTTGGATAAAAGTTTGGGAAAGATATCCGTTGCCACATCAGTTTTTCTACCAAAATTTAATTATTTTTTCTTTACCAAAACATTGTTGGCTGGCACGTGAGGATCACGATTTTGTTGGCGGGTAAGGTACCTTTAGGTTCTGTCATTGTATTTAAATTTCTCTTATTTCCTGCTGCTACAATTTTTTTTTTCTTTGGGAATGATTTCCTATTGTGGATCATCCTTCAAATTAGTGGACAAACCAAATCTAATAAAGAAGATTATTTGGAGAACATTGTGCATAATGCTTTAGATTAAATGAACGAACTCAATCATCTGCATTGTATAATTACAAAATGATAACTTAGAATGAACCCAAGTTTTGCAATATTGTTTTACAACATTTTAACAATTTTGCCAAATTAGCAACAACATTCATAACCAAATTTTTTCCCTCAAAAACACTATCCTTTTGATCTGCACCAACTTAAAATAAATAAATAAATAAATAAAAATCTATCAAATTGACAACAACCCCAGATGATAATACACCACTAGAGGCATGATTCACCGTCATGCGGTTCCCCAACAATCTAGATCTCTTGTATTGACCCTAGATAATAATTAATACACCACTGGAGGCATGATTCACCGTCCTGCTGGTTCCCTACAATCTAGATCTCTTGTATTCGGCAGGTCTCTAAAAAGGGATCTACAAACAAATCAAAATTTAAAACATAATCATTGCCATTTAAAAAATTGCATAGCTTAGTTCCAATAGCAATTTAATCTACACAATTCAAAAAATAAAATAAAATTGAAAGGTAGGTAACAGTCATAAAGTAAAGAAAATTCAAGTTTCTTTCTAACAAATTCAAAATTTTATATAATGTTAATCCATATGAATAAATTGAAGACGAGCAGAACATTTTCACATCAATCCTAAGCAAGAAAGTGTATAAATAACCAATTTTGATACATATTTGAACACACTCACATACTTGAAGAACTCTGTTCATTCTATTCCTCTTACCAGCAAGGTTGCCTCTTTTTTTTGAAAAAAAAAAAAAAAAAAAACACACACACACACACACACACACACACACACTCATTCCTCTGATTCCTTAAAATAGAGCTCAAACCTTGAAATCATTATCATCTAACCCATTAACACCAACACATCCACCATGTATACACTTGGAAGATACAGGTAAAAACTCACAATTCAACAACCACATAATAGAAAAAGAATTAGAACGTCATAGCCCTCAATAAACATGGCAACTACTAGAAATGATTTATAAAAAAACAAATTCATAATTAAAATTGGAACAAGAATGATTTTTCTTTTAATAATTAAAGGACATGCACAACTAAAAAGAGTGGGAATATATCGCCATGACAAGGTTAACATGGTTCTTGCAAAAATAGAATTAAGAGGATTGTCAGCAATCTTAAATCAAATGTAACTAATCCATTAGGCTTCAATCAGAATTCTTTGTGAAGAAAGACAAGAAAAAATAAACTTATAACATCTTTGATTAGGGAAAAAACAAAGAAACAAAAATCTTAAGGTTGCAGTACATTCATCAATTGACATATATACTTAATGTGGGAATTGAAAATGTCCTAAGACATCTAAGTTGTTCAATACATTCATCAATTGCAGCACATGCACACATGAATGGATTTGTTTAACAATAATCTAGTTAACAAACACTTGGACTAAGTTTCCAATGTAAAAAAGTAAAACACTAAAAAAAAAAATCTAATAATAAGCAAAAAATGATACCCTAGCTACTTAGGTCACATTACCCTAATAAACAGACTAAAGTTTGAGTCTCCCCACCTTACCTAACAAAAACATGACAAAGGAAAAAAAATACTATCAAAACATTTAAAAAAAAAAAGAAGCAAGAAGAGAATAGAGATAGATAACAGTATACCATGCAACACTAAACTCAAGCTGCTATCCAGATCAATTTCCTCAAGGTTTAGTTTGGAAAGCAAAGAGCATGTAGGTCGGGCCTCCACCAAAGAAACACACAGCCACTATAGCACTTGCTTATCTATCCTAATAGATGTACTTATCAAAAAAAATTAAATAAAATTGAATTTCATTAAGGAAGTGTCATCTTACTAAGTGAACAACCTCAACCTCATCATAAGGCACAATCAATGCTAGAAACTACCAAATTGATAAGCTTACCTACAAGAAAAATGAACCCCTCTTTCACTAAGTTTGTCCCATCTACTTCTTTTTCTTCTCCTTTGATATTTGAACCTTCATTTAACAAGAAAAAAAAAACGTGAAAAAAAAAGTAACACGAAGTCCTTGATCTCAATAAACTTTCCATTCAATGATTTTCACACAGCTTTTTCAACGTGTCACCCACCATAATTATCATTGACTTCTAAGCATTACCTTGGATTACTGTATTAATTAATTCACATTTCACATTACTATCCTCATAGAAGGTAAGGTCAAAAAAATAAATTTTTGAATCAATTGTTTAAAATCCAAAACTCAAAACCCAAAACTTGTTTGGTTTAGGGTGTTCACAAACTCGATTTTGTTTGGTTTTCACAAATTGGCCAAATAATTGTTTATATTTAATAAATACATAAAACATTAAAATTATATTAATTTTTAAATTGGGTCAATTTTTATTTATTTATTTCTTGTAAAATTTTCATTATTCAGTAATTTTATAAAAAGTTACATTTAAATATGAAATGTTTTAAATGTATGTAGATTGAATGGATATAAAACCAAAAAAAAGTGTTAAATTTTTTAAAACATTCATAAAAAATATGGAGTGAAACTTTGCCTATAAATTAGATTACATGCATCTAAAAAGTAAATTTAGACTACATACATGAAAGAAGTAAAAAAAAAAAAATTGACTATAGTATTGCAAAAAAGTTTTGACTACAAGACAAAAAAACACAAGACCCAAAAAAACTCAAAAACTAGTTTTGAAAACTCATAATATAGCGATATCGAGTTTTTCCCCTTTATGTACAGCATTTCGGACTTGGGGTCCATGACTGAGTATTGTTGTATATGTCTCGTTACGTCCTTTAATTCTTTGTATATGAGTTTTAGGAAATGTTGGGCAGGTTTGAAACAGGTTGGTTGTGATTAGAAACAAAAAGTTGCTGCCCAGTTTTTGGTGTCTTCGCTCAAGCGAGGCTTTTGTTGCTCGAGCGAGCTTTGTGTTTTAGCTCCTTCACTCAAGCCAGGGTTCCTTCGCTCGAGCGTGCGTCTGCGTCTAGTTTTGGACCTGAAGGTTGTGTTTCTTGGCTCAAGCGAGCTTTCCTTCGCTCGAGCGAGCGAGGACTATGTTTTGGGTTTCTTCGCTCGAGCGAGCGTGCTTCTGGGTTGCAGACCTGAAGCTTTGTGTTGTTGGCTTGAGCAAGGCTTTCTACACTCGAGCGAGGTTTCTTTGTGTCTGGTCGCTCGAGCGACCACTCCTTTGCTCGAGCGAGGCTCGAATATATCAGTTCACAGCAGCAGCTTCTTATTCACTTTTTCATCATCTCCTTTGCACAAACCCTAGATCGACTGCTCTCTCTCCCTCTCTCTCTCTACATATCTTCTCTCTACAAATACTCCATGTTCTAGGATCCTTCTACCCTAGTTCCTTTGTATAAAGTGTGGAGCTTGGCGTGACCTTCGTTTTGATCCAAAAATCTTTAGATTTGGAGCATCTTGAGTTTCGTCATCTTCTCCATTTGGGTCTCTTCTTTTGAGGTAGGGATACCCTACTGCATCTTATGAGTTTTGACATAAATTTTAGTCATTTTGATTAGGTGGTGTTGTTTGGTAATTTTGGCAAAGCTAGGGTTTGTTATGAAATTATAAAAAGGGGATTTTTAAATGTTAAACCCCATGTGTATGTAAAACCTTGGAAAATGGAAGTATTGTTGTTAAATTGATGAAATTGAACCTTAGGGTTGATATTTGAAAGAGGGGAAAATGCCCCAAATGTGTTGAATAATTAATTTGGAGAAATATGAAATTGTGTTGGAAATCATGAAATTGAGAATTTATGGGATTAAATGGCGTAGTTGGATAAATAAATCACTCACCTATGAGAATGTTGATATTTTATCTGTTTGATAAATATATTCTTTGTTTAGAAATAACTGCTTTGGTCTATCGGTGGAGGATAGTCTTGATTGTTGTAGACATTGTATATTGATTAGGGAAAACTGAAACTAATCACCTGGAATATGTCATCGAACATGACGGTTGGAATAATACATCGAATATGTGTATTGATTGATCATTGTATATGATAAGTGTTTAAATACATTGTATATGTATATTGTGTGGGAGGAGATAGGGGATGTACTCCATGGTTTGAGAGGAGATATGGGATGCACTCTCAAACTTGTTTGGGAGGAGATAGGAGATGGACTCCATTGATAACTAAGTTGGCCGGAGTGTCCAGGGTGAAAGTCCTGAAATCTTAATTACGTTTGCATGACATGGATAATTGAAGTATGGAAGTGTTTAATGTGAGATGTAGTCTCATTTGAATTGTGGATAACGGAAGTGTTTTAATATGAGTTGTAGTCTCATGTAATTGTTTGGCTAGATAATGAGCCAGGTTTATGAATGTGAATTGGATAAGTAAAGGAAAGTGGAATGAAACACAACTGTATTTGTCATGGAACTGGGATGTGTTGTAAAATTGGTTTATAGTGTTAAGCATTTATCGAATGCTAATGTTTTAGTTATTGCTCATACTTGGTTTAGTATATCTCTACTGGGCTTTGGCTCACCCTTTATGGGACATCATTTTCAGGTTCAGGTGATATGCCACCTCCAAGGACGTAGCTTGGGAGGCTTAGAGGCTGTGAGATCTTTTGTTGTTATCTTTTTGGTATTACATGTAAATTCAAGCCAAGAGCTTATTTTGTATAAAGAGTTAGACTCTTCTTTTGTTGTAACCAAGTGTTGACTTGGAAAGTTATAAGCCCGTAGGGCATTTACTTTTAATGTCAACATGTAATACTTTTGTACTTAATACTCTGATAAATGGAAATATGTTTTATTCTCTTATGTCTATGAATGTCAAGAATGTGGGGTTTATATGTACTATTTTGAGGGCGTCACACATCACCAAACAAGTTTTGAATTTAATTTTCTAAAAACTATTTTCAAAACTCATAACGAAACAAGTATTCAATTTTCAAAACCCAAAACCCAAAACTAATTTCAAAACTAAACCAAATGCAACAGAAATCATTTCAACTTTACAAAAAATCAATATGAACTGATAGTAATGAAAACATAGTAAGTGCTAGAAGTGCGAGAAAATTATACACCTTTTCACACTACATAGACAAAAGGCTTTACAAAAAGAATGTGCTCTTTATGAAGAAAAAAAAAAGTAGAGAGAGAGAGTTGAAGCTCATATCAAATGTGTTTAAAAAGGTTGTCACAACACAACTACTGTGTGTTTTATAAAAAATGTGGTTGTATATGTGTGTGTGCAGAGAGAGAGAGAGAGAGAGAGAGAGAGAGAGAGAGAATCACCACAAAGTAGTTCCACTGGTCTATAATGGTCTTCTAAATCAAAGAAGCATACAAATTGCACCTTGAAAGAAAATCAAAAAACGTAATCAAATCTTTGTTCAAATGGAAAGGGATTTGCTTTTTTCAAAGGGAATGGGATTGTTCAAAAATTGTCCAAACTTCTTTAGCCATTGTTGCAAAATAGATTTTAATATTTTAACCAAAATTACAACAGTTTTAAACCTCGATCTTTTACCTTAGAAATCCTATGTAACTGCTTTAAGACCACCATCGTGATCTATCAAACTAAATGAAATGATTTAAGATAGAACTTTTCTACTATAAGACTAAAATATAGCATAAAATTAAAATTTTAATTTTATCTTCAGCCAAACAGGGATAAGAAGTCAAACTTGTGAAACTGTATAACATTTATTATTATCGTGAGACCTAAAAATCACTGAAGTTCTAAATTGACACATTGACCTCATGAACCAAGAACTTCTTAGTGAAACATTGATCCTTTGAATTTCCTAAATTTCAATTCACTACTTCTCACCACAAAACATTATTTATCAAAAAGCAAATATATGAAATGTATCATACTCACTCAAGATTCTTCCAAAATAGAGCAATCAAATCAAACAAAAGTAAAAGAACCAGCAAAAGATCCAGCAATCACCAAACACCCACTAACTAACAGACCTAAAATATTATAAATTTGTTCAAATATTTATGAGTAATCAAACAAATGAAATAAAGAAAAATGTTTTGTGAGAAAAACAATTTATACCTTTGATTATATGAAAAACCCAACAACTGATGATATTTAGTAACAAAGATGTCAAAAATTGTGTATCTACAATACCAAAACAATTTTTGCAAGTAATATGAAATTACGTCATGTGTTGTTAAACCCAAAATAAACATATTCACTACAACAACACTAACTATTCACGGCATCATGTTTACGACATGCATTAAATGCATGTCGTAGTTAGTACATTCTACGACATTTTTTTTTTACAAGCCGTTAATATTTTGTCAATAACAGCATACATACCATGTAAGTCGTTGATTCATATATTTATAGCATGCAAAAGTATGCCGTAAAAAATGCATGTTTTTACGACTTACAAAAATATGTCGTAAAATATTTGCACTTAAGACGACATAAATTTCATGTTAAAAAGTATTATAACTTTACACGGCATGCATTAACATGTCGTGAAAACTTTTGCAAAAAAAAAATAAAAAAATTCAATCCGGAATTTTTTTATGGCATGCAAAAGCATGTCGTAAAAAATGTATATTTCCACGGCATACAAAAATATGTCATAAAATATTTGTACTTAAGACGACATACATTTCATGTCATAAAATAGTACAACTTTACACGGCATGCATTAGCATGTCGTGAAAACTTTTATTAAAGAAAATTTCAATTCGATTTTTTTTTTTTTTTTAAAAAGCTAACAATTTCCAACCACACTTCTCACTTTAAATTTTCCTAATTGAGGAAAATGTAAAAAATAACTTATACATTATTTTATAATTTAGTGTCTCTTTTAAGAGATAATTGCGCCCAGTGGGATTTTGGCAAAAAAATTACATATTCATGAAAAAGTTTATAATTTTCAAAATTAATATTTATATGGCTTCTCACTAATTTGTAATTTTTTTTTAAAAAAAATTACCTTGATTTGATATTTTCCCTTCTTTTAATAATTTATTTATTTTTTACTTTTTAGATGTGTCTAATCTGAATACAACTAAAAAGTAAAATATTTGTAAAAAAAATATAATAAAATATAATATATACGAAATGTATTAAATTTTATATTTTTTTGAATTGAATGATTTTTTTAAAAAGTTAAAAATATTTTTTGTTAAATATATGTTAATTATTTGAATTTAAAAAGTAAAAAAAAAAATTATTTAAAATATTTAAAAACTTACAATAACTAAAGCAAAAAAAAAAAAAAAAACTCAAAAACATTATTTTAGCCTCGTTCACCACTCTCCCAGACGACTCTCATTCTATCTGTATATATTTTTGCCCTAAACCCTCTCTCTCTCTCTCTCTATGTGCGAGCTCTCGAGCTCTCTTCGAGCATTGCCTTGATCGATCGCGCGATTTCGCATGGCCTCACAATGTATGTCATTCACTTTCTTTCCCAATCGATCAATTTTTCTCTGTTTCTCGATCATTTTTTCCCAAAAGCTTCGAATTCATCATTTCATTTGAAGTTAGGGTTTGGTGAGAGCCATGGAAATGTAGACTACGAAGCCAAATGCATTCTCAATCAATTGATCTCAAACCCTAACTGATCTCTATACGCTCTTCTGTATCGAACGATTCAGTGAGTTTGAAACTCGTCATACTTCGTATTTTTTCTTGTGTGTGTGTTTACTAGATCAATTGAAGTTTGTATTGATAATTCAGTTTTTTTGGAGGTCTGGCAGATCACTAGACAAGTCAATTTCAACGCTTCAGATGGAGCTGGCTGCTACTCGAAGTTCTGAAGAGATGTGAAGATCTGATGAGTTCACTCACATCTCTGAATTGACTCATGAGGGCTTGCCAAGGAAGAAGGCTTTTATAGTTATTGGAATTAATACTACTTTTAGTAGTAGGAAGAGGCGCGATTCGGTCAGACGAACTTGGATGCCTCAAGGTGATAATTTGATATTGTCCTTGTGTGTATGTCCTATTATATCTTAATTGCATGGCTTTCCCTGACTAGCTTTTTGGGTTTGATTAGGAGAGAGACTTCTTCAATTGGAACAAGAGAAAGGAATTAACGTCCGGTTCATGATCAGCCATAGGTAAATCTCTTGTCTGCATTTTCTCACAAGTTGGTTAGTTTAGTGTTATTTGAAAACAATAGGAATTCTTCGGGCAATATGATCTCATTATTATTTTTTGAAGTTGGATCCATTGCTTTTCCTTGATATGGATTTGTCAAAAGTCAGCTCCTCTTTGTGTAACAATAGACATTGTTAAGCAAATAACTGTATCATTATCACATGAATTGCCTTTAAAAATTAAAATAGAATAT